ATATCCTATTCCCTAGACCCAATACCCATCGGCGACCCGGTTAGTAACCGTGACACTGCGGTTAACCTTAAAATATTCACAAACAAACTTGCAAAAAAAAAGCTCTGGAAAAAACCTTAAAGTTGTCTCACATCCTCACCTCAGCTGCCACCATGACCTAGAAATCAATACGACCTAGATAGGCATTAGCAGGACAAGGACAACACCATGTATGTGTGTTGATTATAGGGTGTCATATTATGTATATGAGTATTTGTTTATGGGTATGGGGACCACCAAACTAGCAAGAATCCATGGAGGGATTGAGAGATAGGAAGCTCGAATAAGGTCAATAATGGGGGGAAGAACACGAGCTTAAAGGATAGAGACCATTGGGGAAGAAGGCCCCCATAAATAGGCCTCCCCAAATCCAACCGTTATGTGCACAGGTCATGCACAAGCGGTAATATCGCTGCCTAGAGCTGTATTATAGCTTATAAGAGGTACTACCACTGCCTAGAGCGGCACTACCTCTTATAAGCGGTACTACCGAGCAGTACTACCGCTTATAAACGTTACTACCACTTAAAAATTGACCTGCGAATGAAACTGCCATAACTTTTGCGTACGATCTCCGAATTCAACAAAATAAAGTTTGTTGGAAAGCTAAAGACAAGGGCTAACATGATCTTGATAGAGATATCAAGAAATAGCAATAGATAAAATACTAAAAATAAAATGGTGAGAACTCTTTCTTAAATAAGACCGGTAAAAACTCTAACACCAAAAATGCAAAAGAAGGTGCATATGAAATGGGTTCTCAATGAACTAGAGCTTGTCACAAAGAAGACCAAAAGCTCCTAAACTCACAAAATGAAAAGCCAAGCAAGAACCAAGAAAGATGATGATGTCAATAATGCGATGGTTTGAGCTCTCACCGAACGATACGATCAAGCTACTCACTCAAGAGCCCCCCTTGATAGTACGACTGTCGGTTATATAATCTGGTCTCCCAAATAAGACCATGAGACCGATAAAATAGAAAACCTATCAAGGATAAACCTTTGCCTTTCACATAGTCCACTTGAGCTAGATGATGACGATCTTGACTCCCTCAAGTTGGACCACCTTTGTTGATTCCATTGGCTCGACGAAGACTAGTAGATTGCTCCCCCATACTCCACTATGGGTGAGCTACTCTTCGGTGCATCTTCACAAATCCATTGTCACCAGAATGGAAGGCAAGCTTCAAGGATGATCTCTTCGTGATGCTCCACTTGAACTTGCACACCGCAATCTTGATGGCGATCTCCACTTGATGTCATCCTCCATGGGTTGTATGATATCTTCCTCTTGATGCAAACCCATGGAAACATACCTAACCCCACATAGAACTCACACGTCGACCATGGGTTAGTAGGCAAAGCGTAATGGACAATGCTTACCATACCATGGGATCACTTGATCCCTCTCGGTACAACTTGTGCGCTTTGTGTGTTGATCAACTTGAATCACTCTCTGTACTTAGTCTTGATCAACCTTGAATATTTCCAACTCTCTTAATTAGGATAATGCCTTGAAGGTAAACATTAATGTTCACATAATCTTTTTCTTCAAGACATGCTTGCAATAAGCTCAACTCTCACATGAAAAATCTTTGTATAATTCCTTGAAAAGCACTTTGGCCATCTCATAAACTCCTTGAAACCAACACATGGTCTTCAAGAAAAGCCTATGGTCAAATCCTTCAAATATAACTCAAGGAAACAATTAGTCCATAGAGATTGTCATCAATTACCAAAACCAAACATGGGGGCACCGCATGTTCTTTCAACTAAGGCTCCAGATCTCAAGATGGCCTCTGGTATGAGAGAGGGCGCTCGTACCAACGATCGTACCAGGCACCACCGCCTCCCCCAGGTGGACTTCTTTCGCCCTATGAGATCATATCAGAGATCAAATGGACAGAGACACCAGATACTCGTCCATAATGTAGAACCCTAGCCTCTCGAAGGCATGTGGAGGGGGAATTGGCAAGGAGGATATTGTCATCTTCACTACCACGTCCAAGGGAATGCCAACATCATCACCCTCCATCAACCATCTTCATCATCATCAACATACATCTCGTTGTATTACCAAACCTTGTGGATTGCTATGTGTACTACTTTTTTGATCCATCCATGTTTACCACTGCAATTCGTGTGATGTTTTCCGTCCTTATGTAGGAGTAGAAGCCCTATTTCTCGGGGATATCGATGAACTTTGGTATGTATAGGTGATGAAATGTTAATAAGGACATGATCCTCTGTTGAATGCTTAGTTTAATAATCTTTGTTAACATGGTGAAGGTGCCCCAATCAACATTTTCGCTATAAGGCCAGGAAAGGAATTATTGTCGTTGTAAAGGTTAGGAAGTGGAGGTAATTCAAAGTTACAGTAAAAGCCCTCACTCATAGTCTTTGCAATTGGTAGGGGAATAATGAAGAATCCTTATAGAAGCCATCTCCACGGGGAAACCCTTAATCACTGAAGTGATAACCTGTAGGGGGGAACTACAGTAGTGGCATGCATGGTATGAAGTCTACCTAGAATAGAACGTATTCTGTACAACATAAACGTCAAGAGTGGCTTATCATGATAGTGCTATACCATAGCATGGATCGTGATAGAAACATACCAATGGTAATTCCAGATTCCTTGAGAATGCCTTACTTCTCTGCCAGTTCACGTGTCACTATTCTCGCTGCTCTGATTTATTTCTTTTTATGTTATTTACTTTACTTCGCAGTTCACTCAAAACGAATATTTATTTCCGCCCTCACTTTGCTTTGAGTCTACAATTACTTGCCGGCACAATTCCATAAGTCACTACAACAGACAAAACCCAATTCTTATGCTCCTTGTGGCATCCATACTCTTACTTAGACTACAACTAAACCACGTGCACTTGCAGTCCATCATGGGTTTCATGACATATACCTCGCGGAGGACACGCTTCCTCTCCTTCTTGGTGACATGAGTGGCGTAAATCATGTTCACGTGCTTCACCTCAGGAGGGAACTATTTTGGCTGGCGTTGCTCGGCCCGGGCAGTTGCCCATATCCATTTTTATCGTTATGACGTTGGATTCCGGCATGATTTTCAGCTATGATCTTCCCAACTTGCTCGATGACGCAACAGTTCAGTTGTTGTGGGTCACTAACTTTTCCTGGTTACCATCGATGGCGCAGGGCTGGTCCAAGATTTTATTCAACTAAGACTTATCACCTCTACACCCCTGGAAGGGCTTCCTCTTGTTTCTATGGCCTTAACCTTGGTTTTCGAAACCAGCATTGACATTGCCGTCCTCGGCGTTGTTGTTGCTCCTGCTGCGACGCTTGTTCCTCCGGTAAACATTGGATAAATAATATATGAACACAAACTAAAAATACATATTATATATTGTATATGATTATTATATAGCTGAAAAATGTTTATTGAATGTGAGTAGCATCATACAATGAAAAAATCACATGCATATTAAGTGGACCTTTGATGAGGTGGCATGTGTGCATGTTAAAATAAATAGAAGTAGTGATGATAAACTAATAATGTAAATAAAAGCATGCATGTTATGGTGGCCATTTGATGATGTGGCAGGTGTGCATGTTAAGATAATAAAGATAGTAAGGATAAACTATTTAAGTATATAGGATTGTGTATCAAGTTTTTATTGTAGAATAGATCAATTTTGTATAGCAGTTTATATCAAGTTTCTAATGTTGCAAAAATAATTTTGTACCAGCTTTCATATTAATGAAATTTGAAGAAGTTTGTATATTACTAAATTTTGCGACATGCCCAAAAATAGTAGTAAAAAATGGGGTACTGGGACTTGAACCCAGTACTTGCAGTTGTTAGCTCTACCTGTTTAACCAAAGAGTTTTATCTAAGCAGCCCACGTATACAATATGTGTGTGCTTTCCTTAAAAAAACATGGATTCTCCTATTACCCGCCGATCATCTCCCTCCTTTGGCAGCCGATAGCGCCGTACGAAATGCAACGATGCGACATCACGATAACACTCTATCATAGCCGAGACCATATATATGATTGTAGATGTCATGTATTCACATGTATAAGTATCATATTGTAATGTTACTCAAGTTTGATGATGTTCTTATTATGCGCCAGCGAGTTCAAGTACGATTAGTTTTCTCGCTGGGCTGTGAGGAAACACAAGTCATTGAAATGCATCAATGCAATAGCAATGCCTGCTCTACAATCTGAGGCCTCCTTTGTTTGTAGGAATTCTATAGGATATGATTTTAAAAAAATTGTTTGGAGCCCTTTGGTTTTTAAGAATAAATTTCTATTTCTACGTAGGATAGAGATCAATTCTTCACATTTTAAAGGAAAAAGACTCTTAGGATAGACTCAATGGAAAAATTATTATCATATGCTTCAAATTATTGTACATATCTTTCCCTATGAAAGTTGAGATACATTCATCTCACTTCGTATGATATTCGTATCCTAGAAGCAAAAGAAGGCTCGAGAGTAAATCCTTTGGGCGAAAAATGGAAAAACAAAACAAAACCAGCTTCGTCTCCACCGGCGATTCTACAAAAATTCCCTACAAAGCCACTCCAAGCCCTTTGATTTGACCCGAAAAAGAAAGCCCCCACAGACACAGCACTATACATTACAGTACAACAGCGCACCATCCTACACTACACTGTCTCTCTCTCCAAAGTCGAGGTGTGTACTGCAGTATTGCCCTCCAGCTTTTTCCTCTCGCTCCCCATCTCCTTCCCTCTAATGATAGCTTAGAGAGAGAAGGAGAAAAGGCTATTCCGCTCAAGGCAAGGCAGGCAGGTACCCTTCTCCTTCCCCAAACCCAAACCCTTTTTCTCTTTCTCTCCGCCCAAGAACTTCACCTCAAGCTCAATCCGTCTCCTTTGCGCAGGAGCTAGCTCGGGGACAGCGTCGCCGGGAGAGCTCGATCGCTGCACCACTACATCACTAGAGATAGCCCATGGAGGAGATCGGCCACCACTTCGGGCTGGGAGCCACCGCCCACGGCCAGCACCACAGCCAGCTCCCATGGGGCTCTTCGCCGCTCAGCGCCGTCATCGCGCCGCCCCCACAGCAACAGCAGCAGCAGCAGCAGTCCGCCGGCTATCTGGCGCACAGCCCCCTCTCCCTGAACACGGCGCCGCCCAGTGGAAGCCACGGCGGCGGCAGCGGGTGTAGCAACCCGGTGCTGCAGCTGGCCAACGGCAGCCTCCTGGAGGCGTGCGCCAAGGCGGCCAAGGAGCCGTCGTCGTCGTCCTACGCCGCCGACGTCGAGGCCATCAAGGCCAAGATCATCTCCCACCCCCACTACTCCTCCCTCCTCGCCGCCTACCTCGACTGCCAGAAGGCAAGTGATGGTTCTTAGTACTGGTAACATTAACAGCAGCCCTGCTGTGCTGCATCTGCTTCTGCTCCTGCACGAGAAGTTTCTCTTCTACATCTCATGTCAAACATGAAGCATGCATGCTTTCTTGCTTGCCTTTTAATAGCAGCTACAGTGCATCCATGTTTATTGTTGGGAAGTACTTGTGCTTAGCCTGGGTGGTTGTAGGTGGGGGCGCCGCCGGAGGTGTTGGCGAGATTGACGGCGGTGGCGCAGGACCTGGAGCTGCGACAGCGCACGGCGCTCGGCAGCCTCGGCACCGCGACGGAGCCGGAGCTGGACCAGTTCATGGTGAGCCAATCGATCAATCTTGGAACATTTTTCCTAGGTTGTGTAGCTTGTACTCACACGAGGTGACCTGTTCGTTCTTGTTTTTCTGGTGCGCGCGCAGGAGGCGTACCATGAGATGCTGGTGAAGTACCGGGAGGAGCTGACGAGGCCGCTGCAGGAGGCCATGGAGTTCCTGAGGAGGGTGGAGACGCAACTCAACTCCCTCTCCATCTCCGGCAGATCGCTGCGCAATATCCTTTCCTCCGGTAAAGAAAACAGCTCGCTAGCTAGCTCCTGCAACCACGAATCAATCAATCCATCCATCCATACCCCCTCTTGGTGCTTGCTATTAATCCCTGCATGATTTCTTCATCTGCTTCTCCCTATTCTGATTTCTTCTTCATCTTCTTGGGCATCATAATTTATTGGTTTCGATTTAACAGATTTTTTTAAATGTGAAATTTCCTGGGTCCGTGAAAAACAATTCCATAATAACTATCGTTTTCTCGTGCATCCTGGTATATATGATTGTGCCTGCATCTGCATGTGCGGAACGCGCACGAATGGGTAGAGGGTTTTCCTCATCAGGGTGCTCTTGGTGTTCTAATGTCGCGGCATTCCTCGTCAGGGTTTCCCCCCGAAAAGATTCTTTCCCGGCTTGGCCGCTGGCTTTTCCTGAAGGAGCATGCGTACGAGAGATTCTTCTAACCTGGGCATCCATGGATCTTTTCTTCTGCTGGAAAGGAATAGTCCTCGCCTCTCCAAACACATGCGTATCAGTTTCTTCCATTCACACACCTTCTCATCGTACTCCATGATTGATGACAGATTAACTGCGCAAAAAACCATTGATTGATTTCCTCCTCCAGATCGATGAGTTGGTGGTGTGTTTCGGTACTTGGAATTTATGTGGCGTTAGAACGATTCCCTTTCGGGAGGAACATGTGCATGTGCCTCCGAGGGGCTCTTGCTTCAGCCATCTTTTCCCCATGCTGATGGAAGGAAACCCAGCCAGCCTTCTTCTTCTAGGGTTTTTGGGGGTGGCACTGTGCAGCCCAACAGTGCAAGGCCGAGGAGTCTCACTGCCGTATGTCAGTGGAGCAAGTACTACATGTACACACATGCATGTGTAGTGAGTGTTACTGTGTAGAGAGAGAGACGCTCAGCTCAGCTCAGCTCATCCCCCATCTGTCACGCAAGCCAGAACAACATTCTTGTCATCTTTCTCCCTCCCTCAAGAAATCCATGCAGCTACCTCTTGTCCTAGAATCTTTTTGTTCCGGGGTGTGGTCTTCCAGATGTACATGCATGCATAGATCATAGGGTCAGACGTGTGTTCTTCGTCTTTGCTAAATTTTATTTTAAAATGCAAATGTACAGGGTGTGCCAAGCCGAACACGATGATGCCAGGGCCTTTCTAATGACCTATCACGAGGCTATAGTGGCAACTGGTACTACCCACACACCTGCACAGTCGTTCAGTGCCCAGGGCTTTCACTAACGTCTGTTGGCAGCACTGGTACTGGAGTAGTACTAGTACCATGCCACACAATCACTTCATTATTGGAGCATGCGGTGCAGCCATCTGATGTGTTGTTGTAGATCAATAGTAGTGCCTTCAGATTTCCATGAATTAACCCCCCTCAAAGCTCAGGTCAATCCTGTGCAAAAAATAAAAAATAAAAATTGAAATGGTATGTTTCACAATTTAGTAGATGCATAGGTAGACAGATGAGTAAATAGCATATGTGGCTGGGGTTAGTTCTTTGTGTGTGCTCTGATGGGTTCTGACCAGTTGCAGTGGCATGGCATGGACTGCCAGACACTGGTCTAGGTGCCTCGAGAACCATAGAAACAGTTAAGTGCTGCCATTATTTGATGTGAGATCTCCAGCAATTTATGCGTGATCTCCTTGGCAGCAATATTATATGCATGCTAGCTCGATCTACTTGTGTAGGAGTAGCTAGACTAGATACTGCCATGTTGCTGTATTTTGCGACAGCCTTATCTATGGTCTCTCTCTCATGAATAATGGCGGTCAAGAGACATTGGATGCTTTCCGAGGCGAGTCCAAGTTCAGTTCAAACCCGTCTGCATTTTTCAGACGTCAACTCATATTTCTTCTCAGCTTCAATTGTTCTTTGTCCTATATACTTCTTGCTAGACTACTGGAGTACTCCACATGTCTACATGTGTTCTCCTTTCTTTTCTTTTCAATGTTTCCAAGAGAATGGCAAAGTTGTTTTGGAGAAAACAAGAGAAGGATAATGTAGATTCCTAACAACACAAGTTAAGGGGCAAAATGCTAGACTAATTACCACAACATATCTCCTGTTAATAAATTGCATTTACAAATTAGATATATGGAGTTTTGCTCATCAGAAAACAACAAGGCCTTCTTTTCTGATTGATGTTGCACCCGTCCTCCCAAGATTCTTCGTTGCATGCATTCTTTCAAGGCCATGCAAAAGCAGGGGACACAGATATCACGAGTTTCCGTTTGTCTTGAGGTAAGGCCAAAAGAGATACTGAAAACTTGCCTGGTAGTAAAAAGCAACCAAAAGAAAACAAAAGGGTAAAGGGCTGACTGAGTTTGCATTGGAATGTCACCGGAAAAGACAATGCAACTGGAGAAAAACACACATGCATGACTTGACGATTTGATGCATGCTTTCATTTGCATGCATGTCTTGTTAACAAAATCCTTCAGATAATCATTTGCACCTCAATGGTTTTTGTGATTTCTACCTGATCCCAGGTTTAAGCCCAAACTTCCCTTGGAAGTACTCCCTCGGTCCCAAAATTCTTGTCTTAGATTTGTCTAGATACGGATGTATCTAATACTAAAACATGACTTGATACATCCGTATTTAGACAATTCTAAGACAAGAATTTTGGGACGGAGGGAGTAGTTATGTGGCTGGCAAATCCATAATCATTTGCTTCTGTTCTAGCCTAATAAGCGTCATTCATGCCTTCCCATTGCATACAATACCATGTCCAGGTTCTGTGCATGCCTAGTTATATACACTCGACACTCCTCAGATTTTATTTGATAATGCATGTGTGAGGTTTTTGGTATCTGTTGCTTCAGCTTTTGTTTTTTGAAAAGCTAGTTTATTGGATATACTATATGCAATAATAAGTTTATGACGTGGCATGGCTTAATTTAGGGCGTTTTTCCTATATATGGTCCTACTTAGATTGTTCCATTGAGTAATTATGAAAAAACATACTTCCTCTGTTCCTAAATATTTGTCTTTCTAGAGATTTCAAATGGTTACCACATACGGATGTATATAGACACATTTTAGAGTGTAGATTCACTCATTTTGCTCCGTATGTAGTCACTTGTTGAAATCTTTATAAAGACAAATATTTAGGAACGGAGGGAGTATATCCTAATTATTGTTATAATGATTATCAGCAAACACTAATATGTTACTTTCAAAAGCATTGCGAACACATTCTGGCACAAGATGTGGTCAATCCTCTTGAACTCTCTTACTGTATAACATTGTTATTAACTTATTATGCAGGAAAGTGGCACATGTTTGTAGAGACATATTTTATAATGAATCTCCGAAATGCACTGACAGAAGAAATATTTATTTATGCAAATATCCGAAATGCACTAATACCGATGATTTTCACCTCCCTGCGCATCTTATTTGTACAGGAGTATTTTAGCATTTTTTTTCAAAGAGTAGTTATTCTTCTATTTCTTTTTAGCATACCGGCGCGCTTTCTCCAAGTCTTGTAGTAAGTTCCTAACCAGTCCATTATAGGTACAATATGCATCAGATATTGAGGGCCTCTCAAGTCATACATGTGCAAAAAGTTGCTTATCTATAGCACAAGTAATATCCCGTACATCAACATAACCGAAATTTGAAGAAAAATAATATGAATAACAACATTGCCCACGTCATCATAAGGTGCTCACATATGCACATGTATTGAACAGCATGGTTTATTTCTAATAAAGTGGTAAAATTATGAGACGTGTAATGTTTATGTAATAATTTTTGTTGCCAGATTTATGACATTATTTTCATCTGGTCAATCCATATAATTTGATACTCCCTCTGTTCCAAAATAATTGAAGTTCTAGGTTTGTCTTAAGTCTACACATAGTACGGAAATGTTTGTCAAAGAATCTCAAGAGACTAATTTGGTGTTCTAGATGTTAATATATTTTTCTGTCGACTTGGTCAAACCTAAACAAGTTTGACTTGGGATAAATCCAGAACCTTAAATTATTTTGAAACGGAGGTAGTATGTCAAAGGTAAAAGGTTCGTTCAATATCTGTACTCGGGAAGTATCAACTCTCAGTGGACATGGGTTTCTTATGAATGTTTGTGGAAAGAGGGTATTCCTTCCATCCACATTTGAAAAACTATTATGAACTAGCTTTACAAAAAAAAAAGGTTAAATGGACTTGCACTCTTCTGTTTCGTTTTATCTTTACTTACTACATAGCTCCAAATGTTGTACCGCTTTCTCTTAAAAAAATATGTTGTACCGCTTAACCCTTGTGATGGCATTTTGAACGCTTTGTAAAGGAACTAGATTTATTTGGAAAAGCCTACGGGGCATTAAGCACACCTGAATATTTTCCATTAAACAGCTTACACAGTCATTAGGGTTTCCATTGCAGGGTAGGGCTAAGAGAGGAGGGTAGGGTTCCCAATCATGTATAAGGTGTCAT